AAATCATGAATGATGCAACATACCTGCATACTAGACACTCTATGAGAGTTGCGGCAAAGAGGAATCAGACACCATAGAGACTCACGGATGGTAGGCAGAGGCAAGATGAACAAGAGCGTGTCTGAACGCATCCATTTCTTAAGTCCGATACTGGCATTCCCACGATAGCCGTGCTGCATCAACAGACAAATTTCGACCGTTTATCGCACTAAGTGCCCAGATCATAATTTCAACCGGTTTTCAGTCGAAACCTGTTTCGACCTTATTCAACCACTTACCGGCTGAAAGTACAAAAACGATCGATTACCTGTCTAATTTAGGCCGGCCTGGTGTGCACAGTGGACGTTGTGACTCCTGTATACGTCTCTGACTGTCGTGATTCTGCGAGTACGTCCTCTGAGCATTATCGCACCTCTGCGACACCGTGTCTGGAATCTGGATGTTGTGACTGCATCTACGGTTTCTTACTGAGTGTTGCGGTGGTGGAAATCTGCGGCTACCATCTATTGAGCTGTGATTCTGCGACTGTGTTTCTGGATGGTGCGATTCTGCCACAGCTGTCTTTATTCTGTGACTACCAGATCTCTGTGGGCAAATATTGCGACCATGCAATTACTGTCTCTGCGAGCCCATGATTATGCGCTGTGAGCGTTGCTGTTCTGTGAATACGCACTCTGAGCTGTGATGTCACGGCTACTGTCTCTGAGGTGTGATTCTGCGACTGTCTCTGCATGTTGCGATTCTGCAACTACGTCTCTGGATGTTGTGGTTCTGCGAGTACTGTCTCTGTGTGGTGCGGTTCTGCGTCTGTCTCTGTGTGGTGCGGTTCTGCGTCTGTCTCTGCATGGTGCTAATCTGCGACGTCGTCTCTGATTTGTGCTTCTGCGGCTGTCTCTGCATGGTGCGAATCTGGGACTATCGTCGCTGGATGATGCAATTTTGCGACTATCTCTCCTGAGCGTCGCTGCTCCACAACTAGTCTCTCTCACCATCTCTTGGGCTGTGATTCTGTGCATCGTGTCTGTTCTGCGAGTAGCGTGTCTGTTCTGCGTGTCTTTGGTGTGGTGATATGTGTTGTTGGTCTTTGGTGATGGTATCAATGAGATATGTGGGTGAGTGTGGCGGTGTGGAGATGATGGGAGGGACAGGGACAGGGAGGTTGGAGGAAGGCGGGTTGCGGGAATCCTGGAATGACGGCAGGGTCATATGAGTCTCCCTAGGACGGTGTGAAGAGTCGGTCAGATGATGTAAGGGGTCCTTGGTCTACTCGAGGCACGCAGGTTTGTCCAGGCACGTCTGTGATTGGCTGGAGCCAAGCGGGGAGGGTGAGTTGCCAGACTGGGTAGTATTGATCGGGGCGCCACAACGCTTCGTGGGCTGTGCGGCCCGGGATTTGTCAATTTGACAATTTGAGTCGTCGGGGGTAGTGGGCTTGGAGGGGTGTTTCGTTTTTCGCGTTAATATGACAAGACGCCGTTTCATCGATCTCGAATCTAGCGATGCATGTAGTTCCGATTCCCCTGAATCGGGTATCATCTCAGTATAGGGAATATGTCGCACGTGGCAAAATGATGTTGGACAGGGGCTATTTCTCTCTATTCGGCGGCCTCTTAAAGGTTCACGTGGCGAATTGATTGCTGGACAGGGGCTATATCTCCCCATTTGTCTCTGGGCTTAGACTGTCTGTTTCTACTCTATTAATCAGCGAACAACTAGATACTACCCTTTCTATCAGTTAAACAACTTTTTGCTAGATTGAAATCGGAATAAAGACTTGTGTGTGCTATCCCGCAACATTATTCTAATGGGGTTTCAGATGTTTGTGATTTTGATTCTGGCTGGATGGAGGCCCGCGGTCTGAGTATGGCTGGTATGACATATCTTGATCCCTGTTAGGCTCACTACGTCGTGCTTTGTAGTAAAGAAAGTTGGATGTTCTGGTACAGAGTACTTTTCTGGTCTTTCCAATCCATCATCTTCTCGGCTCTCATGCACTCTGGTTCTGTCCCCGCGGGAAGCGCCTGTTCCACAGACAATAACCGCATTGAATCTTCTAGGCTCTATGTGCAAATTTCTTACGGACTGTGATGACTAGACCTTCTGCTCAGGCTCACCCTCGGAACGGGACTGCGGTGCGATTGGGTTGCACTAAGTCAGATAAGCTCAGACGGCTGGATTCCTTAAAGCCTCCAGTTCGAAATGCACATGCATTGATTATGAGACCTGCACCCAGACAGGTACTGTTTCCATTCAATGACTTGTACTATTGTAATGCTAGCGCTGTATTTGTGTCAAATGCAGTTCAGACATCGTTGTACTCGTTCATTCAACTGTCCAGTAAGGTGTATTGTAGTGGCACATTGATTCCGGTTTTGTGTGATGGTGATCCCAAAGTTATTGAAGTCTGCGCAGCACTACGTATTGGACCGTCGGGGAATCGGGCCCGGGCGTGCCGCGCAGCGCCGTTTTCCTCAAGTATGTACAGGATCCGAATGTATGATATGGGGTGTCCGTTCAGCTTAGCAGATTGTTCTTCGCACCGCACCTCGCATAGAAATAATAAAATTAACAATATGTACATGTCCACACTTGCGCAAGACCCGGTACCAAACCCCAAACCCAGAAATATGAGTACCATCTCCCCGTCTCTCGCGGATGCCTCACCACCCTACTCGTATATCCGCACCCCCGCAAAATCGAAATAGGCACTCGCGAACGCGGACGGGGCGGTGTTCACGTGGTCTGGTCGAGGTTCGTCAGTCGGCGGGAAGGGAGTGGGAGTGGGAGACGCACCGACACACGACCCGGGACACCCGTCGTGCGCGTACGCCGCGCCGGCCCAGTCGCCGCCTGTGATAGTACACCGTCAGTATTGTGATCTCACCCTCCGTGATCTCTCCGCACGAGAGAGAAGAGGATACGCAGGAGAAGAGGAGGGCGGGGAACAGAAATGATGAGAAGCAGGAGGACACAAAAGACCACTCACAAAACGTCAAGTTGATAATAACGCTCATGGGCCCGAGGTGGCTCTCCATGTCACATTGCGCCGAGGAGGGGAAGAGCGCGAGGGGTGTGCCCTAAGTGGGGAGGGTATGGGAATATGAGAAGAAGAGGGAATGATGAGTCGATAGCAAAGAGTCTGCACCACACCACGACCCACTCACCCACGCCCCCGTGTCTACCGCCCCGCCGCCCCTTACGTCTCCCGGCACGCCCCCCGCGCTGCGTGGCCAGAACCAGATTTTGAGTGTGGAGGGCGTGCGTTCGAGGGCGTACCTAGTGAGGAGAGGGAGTAAGTGAGGGGGAGTGGGGAGTGGGGAGTGGGGGAGTGGGGGAGTGGGGGAGTGAGGAGGTGAGGAAGTGGGGGAGTGGGGGAGTGAGGAAGTGAGGAAGTGAGGAAGTGAGGAAGTGGGGAAGTGGGGAAGTGAGGAAGTGGGGAAGTGGGGAAGTGGGGAGTGGGGGAGTGGGGGAGTGAGGAGGTGAGGAAGTGGGGAAGTGGGGAAGTGGGGAGTGAGGGAGTGAGGAAGTGAGGAAGCAAATCGAGGAGATAACCACCGCCAAAACACGAACCACTCACCACCCCCCGCCGCCGGCATTAAACCCCGCGCCAAAGCTCGCGTCTTTCAGGTCCCCCGCGGCGCGCACGCCGCACCCGCTGTCGTCCGCGTTCGAGGAGGCGCAGGAGGTCGTGGTGGTCGTGCTGGGGGGATGTGAGTATGGGTGAGCGGTGGGAAGGGGTGGGAAGTGGGGGGGAAGGAGGAATGGAAGGGGGAGGAGGAAGAGGAATGGAAGGAGGAGGAGGAATATTGGAAGTAGGAGGAGGAGGAGGAGGAGGAAGAACGCACCCCGTCTGCG